CTACTTTCAGATCACAGCAGTAAGTCATCACAAGACACAAAATCCAACAGGGAGAAGCACTTCATCGAAGCCTCCTGCCTGTGTCCCCAGATTACTGTCTCCCAGATGACCTGGCTGTCACCAGTTTATTGGGTCTTCCAAAGATAGTCTGTGTATTGTTGAAAAATGGATGTCAGTGACTGTGTCTACTAACAGTATTGAGCACCTGCTGTGTACAGTACTGTGCTCATACATAGAGGGCAGAGAGACATGGGCTGGGGCCCCTGCAGTCCACCTTTGGGTTTCAGGGTCAAGTCTCTGAGGCAGAGGAATGCTGGTCTTGCTGCCGTGCTGACCTGAAGTACCCACCTTCCCACTGCCTGTGGAATCCCTGTTTGGCAACCTGGGTTCAGATGCCAGCTCACCCATGTACCCGGCTGCCTGATGGGAAGACTGTGTCCTGTTTGTTTCTGTTGGTCCTGTGAAAAACTGCTCCTGGGTCACATTAATGACAGTAATGATCCACTCTCCTTTGTTTTCCTTGGTGGGACAAAGTGGTGGTTCAGTTGAATTTCAGTTTTATCTTTTGTAATTTTCTACACCGTGAATTGCAACGTTTGTAAGTAGGTAACATGGGTTATGCTAGAAAGATCTTTATTTTTTGCTTGCATGAGCAAGGTTAGTTCTCAGCTCCCTAGACCTGTGTCTCTCCTTGTCTTTAACCTTTGATCATCTTTTATTCTGATGACTTCATTCAAACTAGCAGAAAAAAAAAATCACAAGGGTGATACAAAGAACTGCTGTATACCCAGATTCACCAATTGTTAGCTTACACTGCAAAAACTCTCCTCTCTCTCCCCTATTTGAATAAGGTGCAGCCATGACCTTTTATCCCTAAATATTCAGGATGCATTTCTGAAGAACAAGGGATTCTCTTGTGTAAACCACCGTGGGATTGTCAGACTCAGGAAATGTAGCATTGCTGCAACTGAATTATCTAATGCACGGACCAGTTTCATCCGGCATCCTGATGTCCTGTTGGACGACTTCTTCCTGATTTTGAGTCCCTTGTCCATGGCAGCCATATCCCTTCACCTTGCCTTTAACCTGCAGCATCTCCTTGGCGGTTCCCCAACCTTGACCTTGTTGCAGAGGTCTGGCCAGTCGTTTGGTAGAATGCCCCTGGTTTGGGTTAGGACCTTCGTACTTGAAAGCTCATGTTCACCACTTGTTCGACGACGTCCCCTATATCCTTGGTGGTCCCCTCCCCTGTGGCTATCAGTGACTATGTCCATCGATCCATCACGGTGCAACCCTGATCTGGGAAGGTAGCCACTCTATGCCTGATTACAGGCAAGGACCAGAGAGGTTGTTAAGTTGACTGCCCGTGGTGACACAGCAACCTGGTGGGGACTAGCTCTGGCCTGGCAGCCTGTACCTGTTGGAATCTGGTGAGCATGGGAGCCGGGCTTGCTGACCTCTGGGAGACGTCTGGCCATATCTGGGTTTGTGTCACTTTCTGAGGCTTCCTTCAGGGCAGCGACATATTCCCAGGCTGGCCTGTACTCAGAAGCTTCCGGGGCAAAGTGGTCTCACCCTCTGCCATCCAGAGCTGCTGTAGGGGCCACAGTCCATCCCATGGTCTACTTGCAGTGGGCAGATGGGGTTTGGCTGATTTTGAGGTCAAAATTGTGTGCCAGTCTTATTTCATGGCTGGCTTTCTCCCGCTGTCCAGGTGGCTGAGGGTCCTTGCCTGGGGGGCAGCTGGTCCTGGCTGCAGTCTGTGTGTCCAGTTGGCTCCACTACCTGGGCCACGTGTAGGTGGTGTTCAAGGTTCCTGCCCCAGAGGAGAGGCTGCTTGGCTGCAGCGGACCCGTGCGGTGGGTGCTGCTTTTCTTCTCTTTTGACCTTTTCCTGGTCCTAGGGATTGAACCCAGGGGTGCTTTACCACTGAGCTACATCCCTGGCCCTTTATTATTTTGAGACAGGGTCTTGCCAAATTGCTGAGGGCCTGAGTTGCTGAGGCTGGCCTCTAACCTGTGATCCTCTTGACCCAGCCTCCTTAGTCACTGGTATTACAGGTGAGCTCCACTGTGGTGACTCGGGCCCTGCCTCCCCTTCTGGGTGGAGAAGGGAAGATAATACAACCCTGCCTTCTGGCTTACGAGAGGAATAGAGGACCTGGCACTGGTGACACAGTGGGAATTCTGCTGGCAGACCTCGAAGCAGAACGGCTAAGGGGTTGGGGTCTCTCTACCTCTCTGCTTCTTGCGTCCTGGAGGTCTTGGGGGCCTAGATCTTCCTGTCATAGTGGCCCGGGTTCCTCCGACAGCAGAGTATGCTGGAGTAGGGCTCTTGCAATCCTGGAGACATCAGGGAAACTTGTGAGCATCCTCAGAGGGCCCACAACTTGTTGGAACAGGTCACCTGCAGAGTCCTTTCAACCCAGAGCGAGTGAATTTCCTGTCCTTGAGGGCTGTGTTGAGGGGAGATGGCGGAGGCCTGGGTGGCGGCCCCCCAGGCCTAGGCCCTGGCTCATGGTACACCTTGGGCCTCTCCCTGTTCCCCGTTCTTCTGCCGGGCTCCCCAGACATCTGAGCGGGTTCCCCATGGCCGCCCCGTGCTGCACCACTCTCCTGCCCCTGGTTTGTCTTGTGTGGGAGTGACCCCACTGCTGTCCAGGTTCAGAGTGTAGACAGGACCCTCCCACTTTGTACCAGGCTCTGGGCCCCCAGCTACCCCAGGCCTCTCTCCCTTGTGCCTGCAGCCCCTAGGGAAACTTAAACACATTGATTAAGAACATTAGGCTGCCTTGGAGAGAGGTTCTTTTTCCTACAGGAGCCAGTGATCTGTGTTATCACTGTTCCCACAGCTCGTGCCGACACGGGGGTGGGGGGCACCTGGCAAACCAATGGTTCACCTGCACATTCTGCTAGGGGTCCCGCAGCCTCCTTAACTGGCCTCAGTGTTAGTTTCCATTTTAAAATGAGAGTGTCCCTGTGTCCTGACCCCCCAGGATCACCGTGGGTGTTCAGTGGGGTTCCATGGGACCGTCCTGAGCGGAGCATCCTTGGCAGGGTGTGCTGGTCACCGGCTCTGTGGTCGTGATGAAGGCACCTCCTCGGGTCCCCTGTAGTTTACAGAGCCACTCCTTCCTGTACTGTCCAGTGTCACCCACAGCACACCGGGAGGTGGGCAGTGCTTCAGTCCATCCCATTTCACAGATGGCTGAACTGGGAAGTGAGGGCCACAGCCTGGCTGCAGCTGGGGACCTTTGCCCCAGCCCTGGTCTCTTCTGGTCTCTCCCTGCCTCACGTAGTCTCCCCAGCCCCAGGGGCTGAGTCCCTGCGCCGAGGGAGTCACCCAGGAGCTAGGAAGAGGGGAGACTCTATTTTTTTTCTTAGGAGTCATCTAAGCAGTGAAATCTCAGGCCTCCGTTTAAGTGACAGTAAGAGGTGCATGTCTAAGTGCTTTTAATTTTATGCTCTGCGGAGATTCTCAAGGCTAGGAACAAGTCTTCAGGACAACCACCTGAGGCTCAGGGTTTAACTTGCTGAGGCCCCTAAAAGACCATTGGAGCAGGAGGGGTGGGTGCCAGCCCAGGAGGTCTGATAAGAGCCACTGTCAGCCAGGAAGTCCTGCTGTCCTTTCTGGGCAACCAAGAGAGTGTGTCTTGACAGCAAGGCAAAAGGTGCTTTCCTTGCCTAAGTGCCCGGGGAGCCCGGGTGGGCGCAGAGGCTCCAGGGCCGGTGTCTGAGTGTGCGGCGGCCAGTAGTGCTTTTCCTGTGGGGGGATCCACCCTGCACTACTGAGAACCGGGCTCTGCACGCTGGGCGGGTGGACCAGCACTTCTACAGGAGGAGGCGCGACTGTGCTGAGCTGCTGCAGGTCTGTCTGGGGTGCTGACCCCCCAGGGGAGAATGTTGCCTCAAAGCAACAAACATGGCCATGCCCTTCCCAGAGGAGAGACGGGGATTCATCGTGGCTTGGGAAACATAAGCTGCCCTGCCCACTGCTCCCACCTGTGGGGCAGAGATATTTGGCCAGTGTTCCTAGAACTGAAGGCAAATCCCCCTTCAGAACTTTCCAGTGTCCTCTGTCCTGAGCCTGTGCCGACAGCCCCATCCCTTTAACCATGTCACTGCCAACATGTTGGGTTGCTTTAGGGACGGGGGGCACCCCGCTGTGAATGTGATTGTAAATGTACAATGTGATTGTAAATGTACAAACCCCTGGCTTTCTGTGGAGTCCACACTGGAGCATCACTGTCCTCGAAGGACAGAGACGGTATGTGCCCCAGCCCCCAGACAAACACCAGGCCAGGTCTGGGGTAGCCTAAGAGGGTCTTCCTGAGCCATGAGGCCAGGGGCCTCCATGCTCCTTCCTGCAAGGTCCCATCCTTCGGGCCACCCCATGGAACCCTCTCAATGATCAGTTAAGATAGCAATCTCTGATGACACTACAATTTTTGTTCCCTGAGTAAGTAATGCATGTTGACCACAGATCACATGCTAGATGATTGTGTGGAGCTTAGATAAAATTTATGACAAAGTTAATCTGATGCAGCTGCCTGGCTCACACAATCTCCACCATCTACGGGATGAGCCGGGCCTCCAAGGACGAGCCATTCCCAGCATGAAGTTATTGGGTTGTGTCTTGCTCCTCTCCCCCCATAATTCTTGCTATCGGATGACTGAAAAGCTCTGGTAGGAAGGGAGACAGGATTGATGGGCAGGGACTTGGGAGTCAGGAGGACCCAAGCGCCAGTTCTGGCTGGGCTGCTTGTGTGCTTTCTGAAACGGCGGGGATATCGGATCCGATCTCGAGAGGTATAGAAGGCATCCCATAGGACTTGGCACATAATAGTTGGCAAATAAATGTCTCTTTTAGGGGGTTGCTTTTCACTTGGCATATAGTGACTATGAAGTTTTGATTTTATAATTGAATGAATCATCTTTTTATCAAATCCATTCAAGAGAAACATTGATATTAATAATTCTCTTTTTCTTATGTATTTCTAGAATCTGGCTACACCTGGGATCTAAGTGCTTTTCATCCGAGAAAATGCATCTCTATTCAGCCCCTCAGGACTTCCCTGAAGGAAAGATAGGATATTTGAGGTAAGGGATGTTCTCCTGAGCCTTGTGGGAGCAAATGTGACTTTCGGAATTGGTGGTCTCAGCAACAGAATGTGGGGTGTGGCGAATGGGTGTGGCGGATGGATGTGGCGGTATAAAAGCTCCCACTGACACCCAGGTGTGAGGGGTCTCCCGCCTGGAGCAGCGAGTCCCCTCTACCCTGTCTGTGCCTGTTTCAGGCACCCCTGACACCCAGGTGGGAGGGGTCTCCTGCATAGAGAGGCTGCAGTGGTCATGGAGCTCCCACGCCACCCAGGTGGGAGGGGTCTCTTGGTTCCTGTGCTGCCCTCGACTGCCTTGCCCACAGTCCTGTGCCTAGGCTGCTGTCCCGGTGCCTAGCTGAGGGAGAGCCCACCACCGTCTCTTGGCTGAGCTCCCCACTTCCATCCATCTGTCTTGCTCTGACGTTGGAGACTTCTCTGGGGAGAGGAGGAGCAGGTGGGTTAGGTATCAGGTCACAACACCTGGGGGGGCGGGGCGCGGATTGGGAGGTCTTCCTCTGCCCAGTGGGATCATTGCGTTTCCTCCTTTCCCCTCCGTCACGTGCTCCAGCTGTGCTACGTCTGTGTCTGCCTGGAATAAAGGGAGCTGAGGCCGGGGCTTCGGCAGACCTCAGTCTTCCCACTTGGACTCTTGCCTTACCTTGGGCAAATCACTCAGCCTCGCTGAGCTCCAGATTCTGCATCTGGAGGCGAGGGACGGTATCCGTGCCTGCTTCATGAGATTGGTGTGGGTGTCCCATGAGGGTGGACACCCAGAGCTTAGCAGACTGCCCGTGAGGAGGAGGAAGTGCGTGCTCTGGGATGAAAGAGGTCTTTTCGTATTGATTTGTTCCTTTGATGTGCCAGACCATGTGCTCTCTGCCCTTCACCCACCACCCAGTCAGCCTGGGAGCTGGCTTGTGAATTTCCTTTGGGGCTGTGTGCAGCCCTTGTCCCAAGCAGAGCTGATGAGTCCCTGCACTCGACTGCAATGGGCAGCTTAAGATACAGCTCCAGCTGGGCGCCGTGGCACATGCCTGTGATCCCGGCAGCCCCGGAGGCTGAGGCAGGAGGATCGCAAGTTCAAAGCCAGCCTCAGCAATATCGAGGCACTAAGCAACTCAGTGAGACCCTGTCTCTAAATAAAATACAAAATAGGGCTGGGGATGGGAGTCAGCGGTCAATCCCCAGTGCCAAAAAAAAAAAAAAAAAATACCCCAAGATGTTGGAAAGAATTAATTGCCTGGTGAAATAGAAACAGTGTGATCCTACCACCAATTTGAAAGGTGTGCAGGGATGGAGAGGAGGTGAGAGAGTGGTGCTGGTGAGAGGGCTTTGGGAAGTGAGCCCAGACAGGTGACTGCAGAGAGCTGCACGATGTGGTGTCCCTGATATGGTGTCCCTCGCAGCCTCCCTGCACACACTTGGGACCTGGTCTGCCCTGGTGTTCAGCATTCCCGGGACATGCAGAGGTGGAGCGAGCGAGGCTTTGTCCTTCAGTCAGGTGAGGGAGACGGGCAGCGCGTGGGGTGTGAGCACAGTCATCCCTCGGCGTTTTCAGGGGAATTGTTCCAGGTGCAAGGATGCTCAGGTCCCTGGTAGCTCTGGAGTACTGTTTGCCTACAGTCCCTGCCCATCCCCCCGTGTAGTTAAGATCATCTCTAGATCGCGTATTACAGCTAATGCCCTGTAAGTAGCTGTCACACTGCATGGTCTGGGGAACAGTGACGGTGTCTTTACCGTTCAGTAGAGATGCAGGTTTTCCCCCAAGTGTTTTCCGTCTGCAGTTGGTTGAATCTGCAGATGCAGAACCCGCGGATGCTCTAGAGGGCTGGGTGTGCATGGGAGGCAGGGAGGGCCCATCTCCGCACAGGGAGGCCTTCAGGAGGCTGCTGCCCCTTGCCCTTGAAGGGTGCCCGTGAGTGGGCCTCCCGGGAGCCAAGCTGCTGAGTGGCGATGCAGCTGCCTTCCGTCGGCTGGAGCCGGAGCGCAGGCGCCCGCGTGTTCCCACGGCCGTTCATCTTCATTTCCTGATCGATTCCCACGTCGGGGCAGGAGGCTCATCTGCAGCGTGTACAGCTGAGGTCCTTCCTGCTCGCGTCACGGGCCTTGCTCGGCTCCGGCAGTCCTGGGGGGGGGGTGTCTCAGGAGCCTTGCTCCTGTCCAGCTGGGGGCTTGGGGAGCAGGAGCGTCCTTTTCTGAGGGTCTTCATCCCCGGCTGCACCTGCAGGGCTGTCCCGGGACGGGAGGAGAGGGCAGGGGACTCCAGGCACCGGGGCAGAGGAGCTGAAAGCGGAAGAACAGCCCTTGGTGCCGGGCCATGAGGCAGCTGTGTCACCCGCCTTCTGTGAGCAGAGAGGCAGGGCCAGGCCGTCCGAGGGTGAAAGGAGAGCCGTTTCCCGAGAGTCCAGCTGCTGGGAGCAGGGGGACAGGGCAGCCGGGTGCTGGGATTCCTGAGCCGGTCCTGGAAAGGGCCCCGCATCAGCTCGCGGGCTTGTGGCTCTGCCTGTGCCCCCCCCACCCCACACGGAGAGCCTGTCTACTGCACCCCACTGTAAGTGACATCCCACTGAGATGTCACTTACCTGGGCGCCACACCAACAGGAGGTGGTCACCCCTTCCTCTGCAGGAGCCTGGACTGTGTTCTGTCCCTACCGTGGAGTAGAGGTACAGGAACACACTGGGTTGTCCCCCGACTCGGCCTCCCCTCCCCATGTAACCCTGGCACGTTCTTCGTGGCTCTCCGGACCTTCCTTTCTCAGCTGCAAAGTGACCTGTACCTGCTTGGGGTGGCCAGGAGGATGGCAGAAATGCTCAGTGAGTGAGAGTCCTTGACTTGCTTCTCCTCCCCCCTGACCTGTCAGGCTCCCCGCGTCCTCAGCCTTGCTCTCTCTCACCGTGGCCCTCCTTGGACAGCAGCAGGATGCTCTTCCCTGTTGGTTGGTGCTGTGCTTGGAGTCTCTCCCCCAGAAGTTCATGTGCCAGAGCCTCAAGTCTCTTAGGCACAGCGCTGGGAGATGAGGCCCCGTGGGAGTGTTTGGGTCAGCGGGGTGGAAACCTCAGGGATTGCTGGATACTTTTTTGGTGGAATGGCTTGGTTATCATGAGAGGCAGCCCCCTCTTTCCTCTTCTGAGTGCAGCCACTTGCCCTTCTGCCATGAGGCCCTCACCAGAAGCTGATCAGACACAGCTCCTGATCTTGTGCTTTCCAGCCTCCAGAACTATAAGCTCAGATGAACCTTTTTCTTTTAAAGTGTCCAGCCTTGGGTACTCTGTTATAGCAACAGAAAACAGGTGAAGACAATGGACTACTTTGCTTTGGACATCCCCTGCCCCCTTGCTCTTTTGGGCTCCTCTCCTGGCCTTGTCTGCCCTGGTGGCTTCTCTTGTTCCCTGCCTGTATCCCCGCCCTGGCCCCCTCTGGCCCTGGTGAGAGAGCATCAGGTCATTCCTGCCCTCCTCTCTATGGACACAAGCCAGCTCTGGTTTTTAGCTACCAGGGCGTGTGTAAAGGTGACTTCCTTTATTCAGTTTTTCACAGCAATAAAAGAACTCCTGGCCCACTCGCAACTCCACACTTGAAACAGAAACGTCTTTTCACACCACCTCGGTATTGGCCCATTTCTCTATTGCTGTTTCTTGTGGTTTCATATTGAGGTTTCTGATGCATTGCATTTGACCTGAAGTTTATTTTTAGTAGTGAAGACAGAGTTCAGCTAATGTCAGAGCACGAGGGCAGATGCAGAGGAGGCATTCATAAGTCTAGGGGAAAATGTGCCTAATTCTATTTCTTCTGGTAATGCCTGTCCCCCAGCACACACCTCCCTGATGCCTGCTCTGCCCCTGCAGAGGTAGGGAGCCATGTCTGGGCCGACCCCTGATAACAGGCGTTCCTGGGTCTCTTTCGGTCCAGCTATCCAACAGCTGGCCACACTGATGAACACCCCCCACAGCCATTGCTGTGGTGGTCATCAGTACCCTTATCGTTAGAGTAAAGGCCAGGCTGTTGCATCCTCATTTTGTATTAACTCCCCAGAGGGGTTCATTCCTTCTTCAGAAGCAGCTGGGGACTTCTGTGATCACCAGCTCTTCTTCCTGGATGGGGCATGTCTATGGGAAGGCTCTGGGTCCTGTCTAGCTCTCTCCAGCCTTTGGCCTCGTGACAGGTGCATAGGACATGCTCAGGGACAGTTTTCCTGGGTTGACTGAATTTCAGGACACTGACTTTGGCCTGGAGAGTTAAGGAGATGTAGAAGCCCTCTTCCTTCAAGGGCTGGCAAGTCTCCGAGGGACACAGTGAGCCCTGCCGTTTGCTGGGGACTTGATAAAGTTCTCTCCTTTGCTTTACTGCTCAGGTCTTTATTTTTTATTGCACACATATTTGCTGAGACCCCATGGTGTGCCACTGTGTGGGGTGCCTGGGATGAAGAGGAGGAGCCATTGTAACTGCCCTGAGGGAGGCCCAGACAAGGGGGCAGCCTCGGGGATCCTGGATCTCACGGGGGAAGGAGCTGGAGACTCCGGGACATTGCTCTGCTGAGCAGCAGGTAGATCTTCAGTGAGATTATCTGAATCCAGCCCTTGAACTGCCCCGCCTGATCTCAAGCCTGTGTTCTGGGCTCCAGCCGCTCCTTGCTCCCCTCCCTCTTCCTCCCCTCCCTCGCCTCTCTCTGTGTCCCCTCCTGGCCCTGCCTTCTGAGGACAAGGCTCTTTCTCTCTACAGCCATTCATGGCAAGGGATCTGATCTGGGGGCTGTGCTGGGGGTCCTGCCTGTGGCGAGGTCTGTCTGACTTTCCCTGAGACCAGACCTTTCCCTCACTCCACCTCCCCAGCAGGTTTTGTGGCAATGGGCAGGACATGGCCAGCTCCCACTGTCCTCCCTCCCTGTCCTCTTCCACTTTCCTGCTGGGAGCCAGGTGCTGAGACAGGCTGCATGGAGCCAGGAGAGTGGGTGAACGGTCTCTGTCTTTAAAGGCTTCACAGTGTACTGGCCTTTTCCGTCAGGGTCCTCCAGAGAACAGGACGGGTGCAAGGCACAGACAGGTGCATATCTTTATGCGTGTCTATGTCCATATCCCCATGGAGCTCTATAGTGGGTGTGGAGAGAGGCGTATTTATCACAAGGGATGGGTTCATGCCGTTTTAGAGGCTGTGAAGTTGGACAATCAGTCGTCTAGAGCCCGGAGATCTAGGGGGTGTGTGGTGTGGCTGGAAGGCCAGCGAGCTGGAGAGGGGCAAGTTAAGTCCCAAGTTAAGGCCTGAGAACCAGGAAGACCAGGCACAGGACCAGACTGTGCAGTTCCAGCAGCAAACGCAGAGCCGAGCTCTCCCTGGCTCCACCTTGTGCTGTACTCAGCATTCTGTTGGTCTGTCTGTCCTAATTCTCAAGATATTGGATGATGCCACCCACACCAGACAGGGCCCTGGTTTTACTCTCTGCAGAACCAGAAACCTCCCCACCGACACACACACAGTACTGTTTAACCAGCTTTCTGGGCATCCAGTGGCTCAATCAAGTTGAGACATAAAATGGATCATCAGGCTAGGCGCGGTGGCGCAGGTCTGTCATCCCAGCAACACAAGAGGCTGAGAGGCAGGAGGATGGTAGGTTAGAGGCCAGCCTCGGTGACTTAGTGAGGCCCTAAGCAACTTAGCAAGACCCTGTCTGAAAATAAAAAGTGAAAAGGACTGTGTTAAAGCACCCCTGGGTTTAATACCTGGTTTAAAAAAAAAAATGACTGTCACACCAGGGGAGACACAGTGTATCTAGACACCTGGATTTAATGTTGGTCTCAGCCCACAGGCTGTAGGGCCCATTCACGATCTTGGCTCCTGTTCTCATCCTCCCTGACTTTGACGTTTCCCTATGCTGAGCTCAATGCATTGTGGCTATTCTTTGTCACCTCCTTGCTTAGACATCAGTTAGGCTTTTACTGAGCGCGGCTGTATTTATAGCATGAGACTCCTGGGACTGGGGACAGTCCTGGACTCCAGGTCTTGTGCCCCATGGGCTGCCTCCCTTTTGAGATGTAGGCATTTATCCACTTCTTGGTTCATTTCTTCAGTTGTCTGTGCACTTTGTCAGCCAGTCCTGAAGTATGCTAAGCAGGGAATTCTACCAGATAGCACTAGACTCCACTGATAAGCCACTGTCCTTACCCCGGTGGTGCTGCGGGTGCTGGTGGAGATGCAGGTACTAGTAGTGATGACAGCGATGGTGCAGGTGAGGCTCCCAGGGACAACAGCAAAGATCATAAGCGCTCAGGTGCCTTACGCACCATCCCAGGCACTGTGCATGCATTGCCTCATTTAGTTGTCACAGCCTAGGAGGAAGTGGAAGTCGTTAGGTAACGTCTCCAAGGTGAAGGAATCTTCTCACGGAATGTACGGCTCATGAAATCGGAGATGTATTGGTGCTCTGGGCTTTTGTACAATTTCAAATTCCATCTATTTTTTTTTTTTTTAACTTTAGGCGAATGAGAGGACCTCTGGCTCTACTGATGGAAGTGCGGCCCCTTGCGTGACCACCATCCTGGGTCTCTGCCTTCTCCCACAGCAGATGCCTCCCCTCCCAGCAGGGTCTCCACCTCCGGCTCATTCCTCTTCCCCTGCTCCCCCTTCCCCTTTCTGTTCCCTTGGGATCCAGGTTTATCTGAGGAACAGGAACAAGTTCACCATCTGGCGGGTTAGGACAGCCACCTCTGCTTGCTGCTTACCCATCCTGGGGCTGGGAAGAAGGCTCCTGGCCCCTCTGAGCCTCCTTTCCTCCTCTGCGGAGTAGACTGTTCTCAGGACCAGATGATGTTATCGTCTGTGACCCTGCAAGACCCAGAAGATGCTCCAACCGGGGGGCGTGGGGATGAAGCATGCTCTGAGTGTGTAACCTGAACACTGTCAACTGTCCCTGAAAGCCGAGCACTGGGAGTCTCTGCTGTGCCCCGAGCTTCACCATCCCACATGTGCGCAGCCCGTTTTCCAGCATGATAAAATCCTTAGGGTTTAATGGGAACCAACCGAGACCAGTGACCATGGGAGCAGAAACCTCAGGCAACATCCCGGGTGCCATATTGCTTTATCTGCACCCCCACTTCCACCTCATCACGAACCATCATGAACTTTTTGAAAATAAACCTTCATATGCATTTTAAAAACAAACTTTACTTTGAGGAGAGGTTTAGGTGTGTGGAATTGTAAACGTCCTGCACCAGTGTTCTCTATTGTTAGCCTACTGCTAATAAACCAGCGTTGACACATTCTGAGAGCTGAAGTTCATGCTTTTTTTGAGATTCCTGTCGTTTTTACCTACTGTCCTCCTTCTGTTCCTGGGTGCCTGCTGGGATCTCTCGGGACATTTAGTCACGTGCCTCCTTAGGGTCCTCTGGCCTGTAGCAGTTTCTCAGATGCTCCGTGTCTTAGGTGACCTTGACAAAGTTTTGACAAAGACCTCTTTTGAAATTTGATTTGTTTCTTGGTACTAGACTGAGGCTGTGGGATGGGGAGGTACACCAAAGGTAAAGAATGATTGTAGCAGGGTATGGTGGTGCATGCCTGTAATCTCAGTGACTTGGGAGGCTGAGGCAGGAGGATCACAAGTTCAATGCCAACCTCAGCAATGGTGAGGTGCTAAGCAACTCAGTGAGACCCTGTCTCTAAATAAAATACAAAATAGGGCTGGGGATGTGGCTCAGTGGTTGAGTGCCCCTGAGTTCAATCCCAGGTACAAAAAAAAAAAAAAATTGTTATAAAACATGCCGACCTGACTTATACCTTTGATCACCTGGTTGAGGTAGGGTTTAGCAGGTTTCCTCATTATTAAGATGATCTTTGCGTCTGTTTTTTACTCTCCTTTGCATATTTTAGTTTTTGGACGGGAGTCACTATGTATAGCCAATGTGTAAGGAGTGGGGATTCACCAGGTGCTGTGGTGCACACCTGTAATGCCAGTGACTCAGGAGGCTGAGGCAGGAGGATCTCAAGTTCCAGGCCATCCTCAGCATCTTATCAAGACCCTTGGCAACTTAGTGAGACACTGTCTCAAAATAAAAAGGATTGGGCATGTAGCCCAATGGTAAAGCACCCTAGGTCCAATCCCCTGTATATACCCCCCGCAAAAAAAAAGAGGGAGTGGGGGGTTTATGCTCTCCTATCTTTATGGGGAAAGTATCTACATAGACTTTTTGGAATTTTTTTACGTGGGAGATTTGTCCCATTTCTCCCAATTATTTATTTTTACTGCTAGGGACTCACATGTTTATTTTATCTTTAAGGTTTATAGTGGTTATAATTTCATTTGACTTTATTTTATTGCTCAAAGTTTTCCAGCTTTGTCTCTTGGAACCTCTTTCAGTTAAGCCCTGTGTTCCCTTGACGTACCTTCTCATTGTGCGTTTTTGTACATTTGTTTTGAATATGTCCATGTTTTCTGGCACTACAAGATCCCTGGGCTTATCTTGTATATTTGCTTAGAATCATTAATTTCTCCCAATAATCCTGGTTCATTTTATTGGAAAATGGTATTAGAAACCCAAACCCGGGTGCTCGTCTGCTTGTTGCTGCCGGGTGTCATTTGGTCTTGACCACCTCAGCTGACAGACGTGGAGTGGATGCTAAGATGTGTCCGTGCCCACAGGAGTGAGTATTTCTGTGGTGCCCATCTACAGGGACATTAAGCCCACTCTCAGGTCATGCCAAGGCCCCATCTTCACCTGTTCCCACACTTCAGCAGACTTCTTGCTTTTGCCTACCTTGGTTGGCCAGGAAATGCAATGAGTGGAGAGGTCAGAAAGGCCACCTTGGGGCAGAGAGCAGTGGGCTGAGGACATTAGACTTTTCCCTGTTGACAATGCGGCCTCACTGAATAGAGGTCAAGAGGAGTGGGACACCTTAGACAAAGACTCTGGGATGTGTGGTGCCCGGAATGTTCGCAAGCTGGGCTGTTGTCACACTCACGGGCCTCCCTGCTCATGCCCCTCTCTTGGCTGCCTGGCCTCCCGCCACAGCCTTTCCTATTGCCCCTGCCCTCCCTCTATACGACCCGCCCCCTTCCCTGCTCCTGGAGCCTCAGAGCTGCCTTCCTAGAGCCTGGGGCGCTCCACATGGGCAGGATGGAGTTGGCACCTGGCACGCAGCCCCTCACCCTGTGTCCTTAGCCAGGGGTTTCAAACTCATTGCCCCCGGGGGCCGGGAGGGCAACAGATAAGTGCTGTGGTGCACAGGAGGACTTGAGGGGCCCCAGAGGGACAGAAATTCAGGAGCCCTGTCCGATGTGCTGCCCTGGCTATAGGCTTAGCCTCTCACCTGCTCAGAGTGGTCAGGCCCCTGCCCAGCACTCCAGGTCTGTGCCTGACAAGTTGGTCAGCAGTGTTTGACCACTGTTCCTGGGCATGCCCAGCATAAGGGGGAGAGAGGCCATCTGTGGACAGTGTCTGTGTCCCTGAAGGACTGCAGGCCTGGGTAGCCAGTTCTGCTTGTTCAAAGGCAGATGGGGAGCTGAGGATTGGGGGCCTCACCCCTTCCTCTTTGCCTTCTGCCCAGGGTGCCACCACAGCCCTGTCTCTGCCCTGACGGCACTGCCCAGGAGTAAGAGTCGCTCTGGTTTAAGGGCTGTCATTGCACCCTCCTGAGCAGCTGCACTGTGCTGCTCTCAGAGATGACCCCCAGCTAGGGCTTTGCAGGCTCCTGTCGCCATTCTCAGTTCTGATAACCCCACCCCCGCTTCCCACTCTAAAGGGTGTATTACTGTCTGCAACTACTGCTTCTGCCATGCCTTCCCCTGGCCCCCCTTTAGCATTTTCGGGCCCAGTTCATGGTTCATTCTTAGTCTGAAATTTTGGCTAAGACAGCCAGTGGCTTCCTCTTCCCTCCTGAGCCCTGGAGAACACACATGGTGCGTCTGGACTTCCTTCCCTGCCTCCTTGGCTCACTTGAGCATGGAGCAGTTTTCCAACTTATTGCTGGGAGGCTCAGCTGCTGCCACCCCTGCTGCCCCCCTGCAGTCCCCCTGCACCCCCCATGCCAGGAAGCCCTGTTTCCCGAGCTCAGAGCGTCATGCTGCTGCCCCACAGCCGGGGGTTCACCAGCAGCCCCCATTTCCACAACCTGTTGTGCACAGAGGTGTTGCTTTGGGTTTTCCACCATGAACTGCAGTCCCCAGAGTGGCGGGCCTCCTTGTGTCTGCAGGGGCGGGCAGCCGTGTATGGTGGTAACAGGTCAGAATAGCCCAGGGCACTGCTGACAGGGGAAGTGAGGCAGCTTGGGGAGAAGGCGTGGGCCCGTGCTTCTTGGGGGGTTTCCTCTGCACCAGGGCCTGCTGCTCTAGGGCTCCCAGCCAGTCAACTGACACTGTGACCTTTCAGACTCCCCAGGCCCCAGCAGGCCTTGTTAATAGGGCTGCCGGTGCAGAACCTCCTGCTTTACCTTCAGCCACTCCTGGAGCTTGTGGAGAAGACATTTCTTTGTCCATGTCGTCACCCTTTCTCCTTTCTTCTTTTGTGTGGGCTGCCGTAATGAAATATCATTCACTGCGTGGCTTTCCAGCAACAGAAACTGACTTCTCCCAATTCCAGAGGCTGGAGGTGTCGGCAGGGCCTGCTTTCTGGTTCATTCATACTTAGGTCCTGCCCTAGTGGGCGTGGTGAGGGAGGGGCCCGGGGGCTCCCTTTGTAATGGCACTGATCCCATTCAGGAGGACTCACTGTCATAACCTTGCCGCATCCCTAAGTCCCCACCTTTAAATACCATCACCTTGTGGGTTAGGAGTTCAACATATGGACTTTAGGGGGGACACAAACATTTAGATCATTGGAGCATCCTCCCCTGTCCCCATATCACTGGACTGAATTCACCTTCCTGAGAGCCACAACCTTTGTGTCACTCTAAAAAATGAAACTTTATGTTTCTCAGGGTGAAATTCAGCTTCTTGTAACATGATATTCTTCGAGAATTCTCATTGATCGTGACCATTATGATGATCCCCTGTATACAGAACTGGTTTTTTTACTTGTTATGATTTTCTTATGTGGCTTTACACCTTACTCTTTCTTATCCAGGGGGTGTGAGTATTTATTGGGGGTTAGTATTAGTCTCCTGAGGCTGCTGTAACAAGCAGTACATGTCAGTTTGCTCAGAACCACAGAGGAGGAGTATTCTCCCATGGCCATGTGGGCTGGAGGTCTGGGTGAAGGTGGCAGCAGGACTGCATTCCTGCAGAAGCCATGGGCCTTCCCTTATCTACTGTCACCTCGTCTTACTTTGTTTCAAATAGGGTCACAATTACAGGTACTGGGAGACATGGTTAGCCCCTAATAGGGTCTGAGAAGAAACTGTTGTAACTTCCGTGTTTCTTTTTTAAAACAAGTCTTTGTTTCTTATGTCTTTTTAATAATATGGGTGTTTGAGTGTATACATTTTAAGTAAATAATTATAGTGATTTTGGAGGCTTTGAGCTATGAGAACCCACTCAGAAGGAAACAGTTGGGCCTCTGGTCTGGCTCCTTGCTCCAGCCCAAGGCGTCTGGTGTGGGTTGTGCTGAGTGTGGGTGGGGGAAGTGGTACTTCCGTGCCCTGCTGGCTGCAGAGAGGAATGTGTTTGTGTGTGTGTGTGTGTGTGAGTGTGTGTGCACGCGCGCACTGTGTTGGACCACCTCTTTGGCAGGACCTCTCCAAGGTTAGGATGTGTGCACCCTTTGGTCCTGGAGTCCAAGAATGAGTCTGTCTGCTAGGAATTGTGAGGGACCTTTCCATGGACACTCGTTCCACACCATGGTCCAGTAGCAGAACCTCAAGGACAGCCAGATCCGTCAACAGCATCCCGCTCAACAGTCACCAAAATGCCAGCGACGCTGCATCCCCCTGGCTGCCTCGATCAGCAGGTGCAGAGCGGGTCTGTGCCATCTCTGAGGATGTCCACTCTCTCCACTTGGTGACGGTGTGCAGCGGGCTGCTTCCCTGTGCGGTTGCTCCTGTCTCTGTCGGTGCCTGTTGGGAGAGACCTTAGAACTGTATAAATATCTCTGTGCTTCATTCTTTGACTGAGCTCATTTTCATACCCATTGAGAATCCATGATGGAAGTGCTGGTCACCCTGGTGTTTGCTGAACAGTGAGTTTCTCTTTCCCTCATCTCTTCTTTCTTTCTTTATCAGTTAGAATTCTGTTGTAAGGAAGCATTTTCTTTTCTTTTCCATTAAAAAGAATCAATTATTTATATCAGTGTGGACTCAGGGATTCTTATTTGATCGATTTCAATCCATGGCCAGAATT